TTGGATGTTTGTGAAAAAGAAAAAAATGCTTGGCTGGTATCAGTACACACACTGACTTTTTAATATGTTGCTTTTTCTATTTGACTCCACCTTCTTTTTCTGGTACTCATTTCAATTATGTTATCTTCGGCCTCCTCCCTTTCCAGATAATAGAACTTGCTTCAGAAAACACACAAGTCAGCTAAGAAAATTTTCTGTGAGCAGCAGAATTAATGAAGCCTGGTTTCCTACAGATTTATGTTGCTGATTCCCAAGTCCCATCCTCACATCATGTCCCCTCCAATAACTTCGGTAGGCACAACCAGCACTTTAGATGGCCAATATGATTTATACACGTGCTGCTTGGCTCAGCAGTCCCCATACATTGCACAACCACTCAGATATCATGTTCCTGTGGTTGTTGCTAAAGAGAATATATTGCATCCCTTTCTCTCTTACTGGGAAATGAGTCTTAGATTACTTTAAAATGAAAATAAATGGGCCTCTGACAAAGTGTCAGTATAATCACAACAAATACTACGAGCATACACAAATTTCAGTTAGAATCCACCCAATCATGAGGATTAAAAAATACCTTAAAGTTGAGTTCTTACTTTTTTTTCCATAAAGTATTTTATTCTGTATTGTGCATACTGCTGAAAGTATCTGTGCCCATTCTCAGACCTCCTCATTATTTATAATCCCATTCTGCTTTTGAGTATTTACATAGACTACATAGACTTCTAAGAAATTATACTTAATTTCAATTGAATCGATTAATGCTTATCCTGGCTATACATGATGGTTCTGCTATGAATTTTTAATCACCAGTTACCATGCAGAATTGCAGTATCTCCCATTGTGAGACTTTGTTCATGCTATGAAAATGCTGTTTAAAAATTCATAACATTCAACAAAACAGGTAATTTCCATCCTTTAGTTTCTCCCCAGTAGCCCGTCAGAGACAACAGTGTGGTCTGTAGATTGATTTGCATAATAGAATAATTAGTGTCTTTAAAGGCATTATATGCAGTATCTCTAAAACATAGCTAATATTTGGCAGTTATTTTGCATGGGACTTTCCACATCAGACAGAGACATTGGATTACTGAAACAGAACAAAGGACCCAACATTTTTTCTTCTGAGACTGACCATGGTGTTATCTAGGTTTTATGAGGTGGGACTCTTTATCAGAAGACATTTTTGCACCTAGATTAATGGCACTCTTTTCCAGAAAGTTATAGAAAATATGACCTTTCTGGTCTATGCTGTAGCTCTTACGAGGTCTAGGCCAGATGTAAACGTACAGAAGTTCACAGTGGCATTGCACAGAGCTTTTGACTGCACCGTGATTTTGTTTTTCGTGCTTGTTCTTCCTGTGCTCAAGGAAGGACATGCTTAGATATACCTCCCTCACCTCTTAACCAATAGCTTAGATTAGTCTCATTTCTGTAACAGTGCTATTTTTGCCAAGCAAGGCCATTAGCCTTTTACTCAGACCTGCATGGGATGGGACAAGCAACTACACTAACGTACAGTAAGGTTTGCACTATAACTTCATGTATAAAGCACGGAAGACTAAGGTATTAGGGGAGAAAAAAAAAACCAACCCAAACCAAATGACCCACCTCCCAAATGGAGTAACTCTCTCTAGCTTTCTCTTTTCTTAAGGGAAGGGTCTCAGAATGTTCAAGTATATTTAAGAAAGTGAGAAGCTCCTGGTTTTTCTTTTACCTCATTCAGAGCTCCAACTAAACATAGTCCCTCTCCTTTTACTGATGGGGGTTAATGACTCTCCTTTCTGTCCCTAACCATCAGGGTACCTCTCCCAGCCTGAGAGCAGACCGGCTGTCATGCAGAAGCTGGTCTGCATTCCTGTCCGTTAGGCTAGTTTGGTCTCCGGGTGCATATCAGATCACACATGCATCAGACAAACACAAGTAACAGAGCGTGGGAGGTATCTGCCAACCCAGCAGCTACAGCAGAGCAGCTGTTAGACTGAAAACACCGCAGCTTTTTAGAGACTTGCTCATCAGCTCATAACCCCGTCTTCTTAATCTATCCTTGCTACCTTTCTCTGTTTCCTTTTACCTTACAATTCAGGCAGGTACCTTCCTCAGCCTCAAATAAACCTTTGATTTGGTCTTTGATTTGGTGGTTGACTCCTAAGTAGCACTCATTGCTGCTGCCCTGTTGGAGAGGTGACCACCCCAGTCAGCTCCCGCTAGGCCAATAACAGCATTTGGTGATACCACAATTTCCACGGTGCATTATTTATCTACTTCCTTCAGGATTCAGTGCAAGGGTAATTACAGGATATGCAGCATGGGAATTTAAAGGTGTTTAATCCTAGGATATAGATAATTTCCTGGGTAGTGGGACATTTATTTTCTCTTCCAGAATGAGTGATATAAGTCTCTGATAAGACCACAGCTCAGACTGCTTCAGGTCTCATTGCTTTGGTTCTCTCGTTCCCGGAACTGTGAATTTGGAAAGAACGGGTAGCTGAGGAGAATCAAAATGGGCAGAAATTTGAAATGACTGCTAGAGAGTTAGGAACGATGCTCCTGGAAAATCAAATGTGTATTTTTACCATAAGTCTGTATGAGAAGATCACTGAACTTCCTGACAGATTCATGGGATATATAGGAGCTAAATGATCACTAATGAGCACTTTTCTTTTTTTTATTTTGGGGGTGGGGGGGTGAGGTGTCTGATTATTTGTACCTTTTGAAGGTGAACACAACTACTGCTTTTAATCACTAGGGAAAAGCTCTGTTTAGAGATAACTTCTTTCTGTCTGTGACTTCTCTTTGTGATAGTATTTAAAGAAAAGGTGGCACTACCTTTGAAACATGCCTGTCCTAAGGGTATTCTCAGACAGCCTCATGCAGGCTCCAGACTTGTTCCCACACTGACACTTTATCTTACCTCAAGGTCCTTGGGCAGTATTCCAAAGCCAAAACCCTGAGGGTCCAGAATGTAGCCTGGTCTGGGAGAAAGCACATAGGTAACCGCAATGACTGTCATGATGAAACAGAGGAGCAGGCATTTCAGACTAGACTAAGCGGGGTGAAGATCCTGTACCTCTATCTGCAAGGACAGCAAAACCCCAAGGAGCACTACTGCACATGCACATGAAGGCACAATAACTCTGTGAGACAATTAAGCAATAGCTAACAAACAAACAAACAAAACAACAAGCAAGCAAGCAAAAGGCTGTGGAAACTTGTACCACAACGTGAGAAGCTGGTTATCTTGTCAAGACCTTTCTCACAGAGGGCATGTGACCACCCTCAGGCTGAGCATGAAAAGGAGTGCAAAGGAGGAAGTCACAAGACACTTTACATTATAATGGCCTTTTTTTTTTTTTTCTATTTTCCAACATACAACAATTCAAGACAAGGAAAAATTTTAGGAAGTTTGTAAAGTTTTTGTGGGGATGGACTCCACTGGCCGCACAGCGAGAGCAGCCCTGGCCCGGAATGGTGTACAGGGGTTCTGGTGGCACATTTCCTTAATTTCTCTGTAGAGAGCTGACTTAATTTTTATTCATTGTTCTCAGCTTTCATAATGTTCCATCAAGTCCGTGCAGTATCGTCATAAAAAAACCCCAACCTTATTAGGCTCTGTGGTTGTGACACCTACCTTAGGCACACTGTCAGCCCTTGACACGACTGTCAGAATACCTGACCTCTATCCAGGGCTGGTCATTCCTTGTTCTCACTTAGTTTTGTGTAAAACACCATTTCAATCATAGGATTGTTTAGGTTGGAAAAGACCCTTAAGATCATCAAGTCCAACCGTTAACCTAGCACTGCCAAGTCCGCCTCTAAACCATGTCCCTAAGCTCCACATCTGCAGGTCTTTTAAATACCTCCAGGGATGGGGACTCCACCGCTTCCCTAGGCAGCCCGTTCCAATGCTTGACAAACCTTCTGGTAAAGAAATTTTTCCTAATGTCCAGTCTAAACCTTCCCTGGTGCAGCTGGAGGCCATTTCCGCTCATCCTATCTGTTATGCACTAGCCAATATGTTACGTGTTAGAAAATAGCATGCGAGCGTGCCGCCATTCAGGAAGTTAAAATCCACGTGCCAGTGAGTGGCCAATATTTTGGGCAAGGCAGTTAAGCACTCAGCTGTGAAGCTTGTTACTGCATTCTCATTAAGCACCAAGGTCACTCTTGTGAGTGTAGTGCTGCTACGTAACGTGAGCGTCGTTCCACAACCCATTTTCTTCAGCCTTAGTGCAGCCAAGAGGAGATGTTTGCTCTATAACCCGCGCTCACCCAACACCCCACAGCGCCGCCTCATCACCCATGGGGACACCATCATTTCTCAGGCTGTACCAGTGAGGTGTTGTCTTCAGCATCGAGTGCTGGCTTGTGATCTTCCCGCTCCTCGCTACTTATTCCCTCCCATGCAGCAAATTGTGCTGTCTCCTCAGTTTTGCAAATCCAGACAGCAGATGGCAAGAAAAGCAATTCCTCTACGCCCTTCCCCAGGAAGTGGGACAAAGTTTGGGATAGGAAATAGAAGGCGAGGCAGCAGCCAAAGTTACTTTTTCCAGGAGAGCCATGAGAAAGGGGAAGCATAATGACTTTGACAGTTCACCCTGTTTCCTCTTTTCTGTCTCTTTGAAAGCCTGGGAAGAAGCATGGGTGTGAAGTATCCCTCAAGCTGCCTCCATTTTAGGTCTAGAAAAAGTGTTATCTGCAGAATTTCTAGCAGGAGCTTAAAAAGCTGCTACACCCTCCTTACAGCTGGGGAGGTGTGTGGCAGAAGAGGTTTCTTCCGTGTCCCTCTCCTCATCTGGCCCAGAGTGGCCTTGAGGTTGGATGCTTGAGGTGCAGGATTAGCTGGCACTGAGACACCGGGTGGGAGACGTAGAAACGGGAGGGCGGAAGAAGCTGCAATCTCCACCTTGCTTGGCAGCCCTTCGCTTCATTTTTTGAAGCACACACACACTGAGGTGTTTTGCCAGAAAGAATAAAATCTCTCAGCATAAACTAGGATTCCTCTCCGTGCCCGAATTCGAAGTACCGTTTCCGAAAAAAAACCCCACGGGATGAACGCTTTGTGTTTTTTAAGGAACGGGGAGAGCGCAGGAGTCCCAACGTGGCGAGGAGGAGGACGATGCTTTTTCAGCGGCTGGGGCTGACAGGTAGGACACAGCCTCGGCACTTACACAAAGGATGAACACAGCCGGGGCATGGCGGCGGCCAACATCTCCCCATCGCCCCGCTCCGGCGCCGTGGCTCCGGCCTCCTCCCCTGCCCGCAGCGCCCCTCAGGCCGGCCCTCCCC